CTGATACAACCGTTTTTAGAAGAAGTCTATATGGTGTATGTGATTAACAAAATTTTAAGTACTGATTTTATTAGATGAAGGTCAAACACTGGCAAATAAATCACAGTACATACCTTTATACTACCAAGGCAGATATCTAAAACCAAAGCTTTTTGTGTAATTAGACTGCAGGGGAAAAAGCACCGTGCACATTTCTTCAGCAAATGAAACATACCTACTGAAATTCCAAATGGAGCGTGTTTTGGGGCAGAGAATCTCATTCTAAAAATATATACATTTTTAACACCTGTGACCAAGACGCAGTGCGGGTGCTATTTCAGAGAGAAGTACAGTATTTCTGTCCTAGTACAGTATATAAACTGTATGAGATGGAAACATAGGGAACTCAAGGTAGTCTGAAAGAAAAGCACGACTCATCGTACGGCTGAAATACGCGTTGGAAGGGAGATGGATTTCCACAGTTAAGTCTAGACATACTTGAGAGCCAAAAAACATAAGCTGAAGGAGTAGAGACTTGATATACCAAGCGGAAGCAGCCCAGATGCTTTGTAAAGCGCATGTACCTAAGGAGAGATGAGTAGGTGGCTTGCGAAAGGCTTCTTCAGAGAAGTACCTGTGAGTGAATAAGGGGAGCTCAGGTTTGGAAAGTCACTGAGCTGTGCAAATGGGGAAAGACAGGAGCTTGCCAGGAGTAAGCAACTCTGTTCGCTGCTGAAGACAGAGTTCGCTGAGGGACTTTGCAGGGCACAGGCACATTTGTCGTTGTAATTAGGGGTAATTTGGTGTGGCCTACACTGATGAATAACGCGCTGAGAAATGCAACAAATTAAAATTGGATAATCCCTGGTGAATTTAATCCTGCTGTTGTTCAGAGCAATAGGTCTGTCCAGATAGACATGTGTTAACAAAACTGCCTCTTCCTGCCAGTTTCCTAATTAAGAGACTGATGTCAGGATCAAAGGGTTTAATTTGCACATGGCACTACCTCTCACATTTCCTCTCCAGCTAAATCAAAGTGGCCTTGTCATTTCTGCATCGCCGAGTCCTAGATGCCAAGCATCATTTCATGTTAAACTAGGTTTTTTTCTGAGGTTTCTGAAGGGAGGTGGATTGCATATAACAATTTGCAATTTAAACTGTTCATTCAGAAGCCCTCCTGTCTACACTAACCTCCTTCCCTTCCTCTAAGCAGATTTGTAGCTTTAAGTCACTGATGTCTGTTAACTCTGAAAGGCGTACTGCAGGGAACAAAGCAAACTAAATAAGAAGTACATACCAGTAAAGGATTTCCAAGTGCATCCCTTGGTTGTCTTGAGCATTCTGTCCCTCAGGGAAAGGCTTATTTCATTCCAGCCAGTTCATGATGCTGTACAGAGAGGCAGACTGGCGGGGCTCTGGGATCTGTGTCATTACACACCTTCACACACACCAAGTGGGTGCTGCTTACTCTGCTTGCTAGAAGGTAGGTCATGCTCCCCCACCGTGCAATCCCATTATGGTCTGAGTGTCGCTCCATCCTTCCTTTTGGGATGCAGCCAAGATGGTATTACGAGAGTATATCGCAGGCCAGTAAGTGCCAAGTTCTGGCTCATGAGGGACAAAGACACGTGCACGCAAGCATGCACGCTAGTGCACACACGCACGTTACCTGCAGAAGGGCTGTCAGAATTGATGCCCAATTATTCATCATTGCTGAGGTGAGGCTGCTTAAAACACAGGTGCACCCTCTGCTGTGTGGTGCATGTGGGATGTCACAACACTAGGCTCAGGGTTAGGAGGTTTCGTTTCAAAAAGATGGGAATTCATAACTGTTAGGAAGGAACCTCTATGCCTCCTTCCACTTTCAGTAAATGCAGAAATTCTCTATTCTCTCGTCAATGCAGCCTCAGTGCAGCTGGCATTTGGGACAGTGGCTTGCTATCACTGCAGAACATGACACATATTTATAAACGACTAAGTTCCAAGGAAGGCTACCATCATACTCCTGCTTGGAACTTTAGTATGTGATAGACTTCTGTGGTGTCTAGGCACCTTGGTACAATTTCTAGATACCTCAGTACACATTATTCAATCTCTTTTCATTTTGTTAGTTTCTATTTATGTTTCCCCTTGTCCCTTATTTTCTGTTACATTACTCCCAACTTGTTATTTCCTACCTTAGTGCTTTGTCTGCAGAGAACTTTATTTGTTGTGTTGTAATGAGTCATATTAAAGTCCTCGTACTGCCTTCTATTTAGTCAGTTGTAAAAAGCCATTAAATTTCTTTATGGAATTCAGATAAGTGAAACACCAGGAGCCTCCCATCACATACTGGCACATGTGCCTGCTGTTCCAGAAAAGATCCAAGTGATCTTTTCTGTGCAAAGAGCTAACGGCAGTAAAAGTCATATAGGAGCAGGCAAAAAGGACACGATGCCATTAAGAGCATGGTCCTGAGGATCACTAAGGGAGCTTTAGGGCTATCTGGAAAAGACTGATAGAGCTGTAAACAAAGAGGCATTCTCTATATACTTTATGTATGCTACTTTCAGGGGAAAAAAAGCATTTTCTGCATTTTTACCAACAATATAGGATTGTATCCAAGAAACATCTGACTCTACTGCCAATTTCTCCTTCCAAGTGAAACACTGTAGAAGATGTTGAGTAATGACTCAATTCAGAGAGTTCAGCTGTATTTAACATGGTACACTGAACTCCCTGCATTATAACTGCTGGAGTGTGTTAGTTAATAATGGCTTAACCTCTCTGCCATCCATTCTAAAGTGCCTCTAGCACAGAAGAAATAATGACTCGTTTTGCCCAGAGCTCTCAGCTTACTAAATTTTGACATCCCTGAAAAAGAGTGTAGCATGTAGGATTATAAAAATCACTGTTGTTTAGAAATATCCCAAATAAACCTCAACAGTTTTCTATTTGTCACACATTAACCTGTGCCTTCTTAGTAAATAAAGATGTTTTGTTTGCCACAGAAGAAGAGAGGCAGGAGACCAGCACCACATGCGTTTATTAGGCCTTCCATTTTAAAATGACACATCAATGACAGAAGTCATCCCTAGTAATCCTCTCCTGACATATCGTAGGTGTGCCAAATAATTGAATAATGCAACTGCTCAGAGGATAGAGGTTACTAAAACAGAACACAACAATTCCTGAAAAAGACAGGGATCGTTCTGCCCCGTGTTTACTGCGGAAGTCAGCAATTACAGGGGAGTTCAGGGCTAACTTTCAGTTGATTCTGAAGGCTAAATCTGGATGAACCACCCACACGTGAACTAGATTGAACCTCAGCATCAGCTAGGACAGTCAGACCTAAATGCATTGAGACACTAGTCCTCAGTTTCCGCAGCTAGCCTCAGGTCCCTTCTTCAGCCAGCAGCACCATAAAAACTGTTGGCTCCCATGGCGGCATCCAGAGCCCACGTGCGTACCTGCGCCTCAACTCTGCTTTTGCTCTGCTGCCTTCTCGTAGAGGTTCACAGTAGTTCTTGCTCACTGGATTTGTAGGGAGCAGATAAATTCACCTATTACTTAAATGGTAAAATCTTTTCTATTCAAGGCAGTAGACGACTTTTGAGCTCCCATCCTTTATCAGTTTTGGAAGCATTTTTACCAGATGTGCCTTCAACCAGCTGAAGGGAGATGCTGGGGAACTCTCATGTAGTTCTGGGCTGTGGGTTTAAGCAGTCATCTAACATCTTCTGGGTTTTAGTGTCTTCGAAGTTCCCACACAGCTCATACAAGGAAGCCTCTTTATTAAAATAACAACCATTTTACACTTCTGTACAGCTGTTCATTTCCCATGTTGATGCAAGGGCTCAAAATAGCCTTTTTCTCAAAGGCTCCTTCAATTTCCCCAGCACATCAGTTATGAAGCTAAAATCAAACTATTCTCTAGAAAAAACTGCAAAAAAATGTTTACGGAGAAGAAAAAAAAAGTCTTCTCGTTTGTTGCAGTTAAACCTGCCCCTGCATGAAAGCAGCGACCAGCCCAGCGCGGTTTCCCCGCGCACTACGCCGCTGC